AATATCTCCTCCCATTATTTTGGGCTTATAATACAGCACATAAAAAACAGTAATAATTTGCTCAAGCAAAATTTTAAAAGGTTTTTGAGTTTGCATTTTACCTCTTCTTTACTTCAAACAAGAATCTATCCTACACAGTTTGACTACTCTTCATGAATATAATGGTGAATTGGTTTAGGAAAACATGCTCCTTGAAGTATAAAGTATTTGTAGTTATTGATAATCTCACCTCTTTTAGCTCTTCATAAGTTATTGCCATAACATTTTCTTCATCAGCATATTTGTTCCATTGGGAAAGGTATTCAAAGTAGCATCCCCAGACAGCTAAATAAAACAAAACAATCCTAAGATGTGTCATAAATGAACATTAGACAAGCTTCTTAAACAATAAACTAAATTTTATTCATTCCGTTGATCTCTCAGCCATAGGCACTAGTAATCATGTCTGTGGCAGAGTTTACACCCTTCTGGGGAAATTTTAGGGTTTGCTCCAGGCTGTTCTGGCATAGCTACAAGTCTCAGGGATATGATACAATTTGGAAGTTGGAACAGTAAAACTTGTTAGTATCTCAAGGCTGATGGGAGTCCAACAAAGAGCTATCAGTACTCAAAGAGGTATCACTACTCAAACCATCTTGCAGACTCCCTCAATCCACTTTAAAACCTTGTGTAACCCTCTCTTCAGCTGGCTGTGTGCTATGCTATACTGATGCCATTTTAAACCAGTGTAATTTTTTTCTCTCCTTTTTAATATATTAGATTTACTCCAAATAATTCCTTTCATCCAATTTGGCATATAGGTCTTTATATGTCTGCATGGACACAAGATGATGGACATTGGAGAGGAGGGGTGAAGGGGATCCAGGACAGAGATAAGGAAGAACTACTTCTTCTAGAAAAAATATCAGTTTGTGCAAAGTAAAGCAGCTTGTGGAATTGCGGCTTTGACAGGGACTCATCCTCTAGCAGTAAGACAAGTATGGTAAACTTTAGTGCAAATGCCTAACTTTTGGTCTTTAATCTCTGCTTTTGTACTCTAAACCAAAAAAATCCTAATGATGCTGATTTACTGAAGTGCAAGCTTTTTGAGACAAAGCATTAAATAACTGACACAGGCAGAATAATATACCTACTTCTCTTTGACATGAAATCTGTGAAGAAATCATCCCAGGTCTCATAGGAGGGAAAACTAGCCAGGCCTTTGGAAAAATGGTAAAAAGATGTAGCTACATCCTTTGGGTTGCGAATCAGTAACAATATCTAAAAAAAAAAATATTTGTACAGAAAGATGTAACAGACTAAAGCATGAAATTCCAAATTTAGAAGGGGAAATATTTAACTTTGCTTTGGCACCATGTGAAGGTGATTGCCTATAATTATTAAAGTATCTTGTACAGAGTAACCAAATTAATTATGCAGAATATAACTATGTTTTGCTCAATACAAGCATAATTCGCCATTTAGGTAACAGGGAAAAATCACTTGACATGCTGAAGCCCTCACTTGTGGCAACACCACAAAATGTCCCCCATGGGAAATTGCGTCAAAGCGCATTTTGCCTCTGGAGGATTTGTTCAAGCCCTGCAACTCCCTTATGGAGACTGTCACAAAGATGCCAAGAAGGATGAATGGAGGTTAAGTAACATGAAGAGCAGAACTTAAACAGGCATGTAGAAATAGCCAGGCTAAACCCTCAAGTATAAGAGTGACTCTGAAAATTGGTTGAAAAGACATTAAAATCAGCACTCACCTTGACTTTATTTTTGAAGATAGACTTGGGAAGGTTTTCAGGACGGAGATGAGTAATCATAAATCTTGGAGAAGGTAATTTGGTCATTCTCTTTATGAATTGGAGGAGGAGAGTGGACAGTTCAGTTAGTACAAGTATTTTTTTCATCAGGTGATTCTAAAATGTTGCCTTGCTTAACTTATCAATACATACTTGCTGACAAAGGTACTTTTTTGTGTACGTATGTGTTACCCTGGGATATTAGTGGGCTGCTGTGAGTAGCTCTAACCTTCAAAAACCCCCGACAATGAGTGACTACAGAAGGATCATCCATCATTAGTCTCTTCAGTGATAATGAATTTAACATGGTGTGTTAGACAAGAAATCAAACCTAAAGGTAAGATGCAGACTCTAACTGGGTATTTGTGAAAGCTGAAGGATCTCAAGCACTGAAAGAAGGGGTAAGGAGAAAGAGCTAGTAAAAAGGACAAAAATTAATATTTCATTCTTTGATATTTCTTGAAGTTCTTCTTAAATACAAAAGATGTTATGCTGAATTTCTGCAGTTCTTGTGTATCTAATGGATAAGTGCTCCTGTCACACTCATTGAAGTGTTCATTTATCCCTCACCATTCGACAATCCAGACAAGATTCATCCTGACCAGATGTCACATACAGAAAAGTGGGAGACTTCTTTACAAACAGGGGAATATTTCACACCCCATATTCTCAGTATTTGAAGCATGTAATTTTAGTAATTTTCATACATATTCTGTTCCCACCTCATATTTCTCGGCATCTCCAACTTCAAGGTAGGGGAATTCTTCTAGTTCATAATTCGCAATGCCTTCTCTATCCTGTGTTTTCTTTTGAGATACAGTTACCAGGTCAGTTAAGATTTGAGTTAGCCAGTTTGTGCCTGAAGGATGAAAAATACAGAATTTCTTGTAAAACTTCTAGAATAAACAGAATGGGTTTTCCAGAAAGCCAGGAGGAAGGTAGTACTATGAGGTGAGTTACCTGGTCTCCTTTCATATGATACAATCACAGCTGACTATCTGGACAATCACCTGTCAGGGTCCTACCTTTGGTCCTCATAAGGATACAGTCCTCCAGCTAGATAGGGTCAGCACATCCTAAATTTACTTGTATATTGAAAATTAACTTGTATATTGTGAACTAAGTAATCAAGGAGAAGAACCACTCAGATTCAACTAGGAAAACTTTCATTTGGGTAATCAATATGATTGTGACAAATACAAGGGTGATTGGGGTGGTAAATCTGTACCATAAAACCTAATATATTATATTTTTTCGATGGGATGTACAGGATTGACTGAGGAGGAAAGATAGGTCACAGTACTGCAACACAGGAGCAGAGACAGATCTGAAAACTGTGCTGCATGTACTCATTTTCTTTACCAATCGGAAAAAATTCTCCAAATTGATATTTCCTATACACTTTTATTATAATTTTACTCAAAACATTCCAAGTAGTCTGTAGCCTACCCATCAGCTTTAGTCTACCATTTCCTGACTTCTGGACGTTGGGTTCCTACACCTTTCACACTACAGTTTTAACAACTGTTAAAACCAGTGGCAGTCTGGTGCAAGCATTTCTTCAAAAAGAAAATACCATAAAAAATCAAAAACTTTACAATCTTGTCAAATCTAAGACAGTGCAAACCCAATTGCTGCAGGAGAGAAACTACTAGATTAAAATGAACATGAGACACATCTAACCCAAACCTGTTGCTCCGATTAGGGGCACCACAGGGTGCTCTCAGGCAGAAGGAGCAAAGGAGCAAAGGTTGTAAACTTACACTCCTAGTAAACATCTCTTCCTAATAGTACTGAACAATGTGATCGCTTCAAGTGCTACAAAATATTTTTGATAGTTATTTCCTGACATCAGTACGAATCAATCTAAAAAAATGCAGCATGGCATGGGAAGGTAGAGAGAAGCTCAGTTCTGGGTAGAAATGTAAAGCTGTTAACTTTATGAAGATAAATGGGACAGCAGATCCTGTAATACCAAGA